TCAATACTCAGAAATATTAGACAAATTTTAAAACATAAGACCTGATAACTGCAGAATTAATTGCTAATTTCTATAGACTTTCATGTTTCTGGACACAGTTCAAGTAAATGTAAGGATGGAACTGTATACTTAAACAAAGAGAATTTGATTAATAAATAAATTCAGTATTCTCCAGACTTATACGGATGATCAATGCAATGCATCTTAACTTGTGTTTCTTGTTTTACATTATGCTACAAAGTCTTCAGTCAGCATTAGTATTAGTTCTGTAAAAATTGTGAATATAAGGTTTGAATGTTCACGGTTGAGCAGGAGACATTCCTACTGTCAGATGAAGGATGGGTTGAACTACAGGTAGTCTACATGCTGCTTAAACTTTTAGACAGGAGGGATGTTAGCATCTTTTTTGCCACTGAATTACAAAAGCTTGGAAATGTAATGTTTCTGTGGCAGCATAAAATCTGAAGTTCCTTATTAATGCTTGATCAGTACACAGCTGCCAAGCTATCTGGCAGCATAAATTTGACCTCAATTTGGCCAGAACACAACAGTGCTTGTGCCAGCTTTGTATCTTATGATGGCTTTATCTTGTTAGAGTGCTACATGACCTGATCTGGCATACACTTACTAGAATAAAGTCATTCCTATAAATATAAGAACAAATCTAAACCAGGAGAATAAGATGGAGTGGCCTACCTGCAGTGAGCAGGAGTTGTAAACTGATGTGGTTACAGCTGGGGCTGTTGCAGCCTGCTGTTGCCTACCACTGCCTTTTCCCATGCTACAAGAAACTACAATCCCTTCAGATTTGCCACCAAAATTCATATGTGAATTTGCACCCTAACCTAGTTTATTTTGAGGGATCCAATGTTGAGCATGTTTATGCTAGCCTGGATCATTTTGATAGAAGTAGGTCAGAGAAGCAGTACTACAGACAGGTCTCAAAGGATGGTAATCTAAACAAGAATATATGCAAAAGAGTTCAGTATTTATTTATAACTGAGTCCTAATTAGATGTCACGTAGAACTGAAGAAATCGCTGTATGAAGAAATCACAGTGCCTCAGTAACTTTTGTTGCACAATGGCTGAGGAAGACTTATTTAATAAGACTAATTTCAATCTAGCTTTATTTTTAAAATTGATAGATGCTTTGCTTGTTAGCTAGAGAGCTCCTAGGATAAAAACAGAAATACATACACTGCTATAAAAGGTTACAGGTGGTGGAAGAAGATTCTGACACACCAAGTTGCAGGGACAGGGAAATTCTGCAGTTCTCTAAATCACCGTATTTATAAGGTCTTCTTGAGCTCACAAATTAATACAACCGTATGGGAGACAGTAACTCTTGGAGCCAAGAATACAGAACATACTGGTAGAGGAAGTACTATTTTGCAAAGCAGTGACTGACATGAATCACAATTATACAAAGGAGGCAACAATCTATTGTGTAATCTATCAGCAGTGGAGTATCCAAAATACATAGTTTGCTGTTGCTATTATAGACAGTGACAAAATTAAATAAATGCATTAGAGGTGACTTGTCTGCATTGTATATGCATGATACCTTGGGATAAGAGGGCTCTTAAATCTACTACACAAAGCTATACTGAAGACAGAAATTAGACTCAAGTTTTTAATAAAGAGGTACTTTAACTGCTGCAACAACTTTATGAATGTGGTAAAATCATCTCCTTGAAGTCTTTAAATCAAGACAAGACCTATTCAGAGAAAATATATACAGTTCTGCTGGAGGATATAGGTTTTATAGAGGAATCAGTTGATAAAGTTCAGTGGTCCATGCTAGACAAAGTCTGAAAAGATTATTGCAAGAGTATTCTGGTCTGAAAAGCTGTATCAGTTCCTGGGAGATTTTAACTTCAGAGCTACAGAAAATCCATGTTTGTGTGAAGAATTCTGAATTCAGCTATACAGATTTGGTTTTCTGTGAAACTTGCACGTAAGATAGGCAAGTTATTGGCACCCATCTCTGAAACAGCTACATATGCTAATCGAGTTGGTGTATACACAGTACATGCTTGAACTTTCAATCAAGAAAAGACCTGCCTTCATTGCAGTCTGGCCTCCAATACAGGCTACTCAGGAGAGTCAAGCAAGGTAGTATAGAAAGTATTTTGGCAGCAGTGGAGAATGTTATGTCAAAAATAATCCTTTTTTAAAACAAACAAACAAAAACCTTATTTCAGCAATATAGTGGGTATATTTATCAAATTGTACCAGTAAAGGAAGCTTACTCAGGAAAATAATCCTTCATGTAGCCTCATTCATTTTGTTTTGGCAGAAAATTCAGATTTTTTCTGATGTAACGAATGTGCTTTTTATTACAACAGATGACATATATCTCAAAAATGAAAAAACAAGAGTAATCTTCTGATGTTATGCCACTTTTAATGCTACACATTAGAAAAACAACAAACTGTTCCTGAAATTTAAATTTGTGTATTCATCTCAGTACAAGCTGCGATGCTTTCTACACTTGAACTGCCCATTGTTAGTAAACTGCAAAATGCTTGCAGTATCAGTGGAGAAAAAAACTTATCTCCGGAGGCATGTGCTCCAGTTCTGAGATGTGAGAAAGAGGCAGGTTGGTAGTTGCATGTATTTTATCACATTCTCCAGATTTTTAAAAAGCTATGCTTATACTGAAAAGAGCATGTAGATGCATATACAGCATCCACTTTACCACAACTATATGTTGATGAAATATTTGGTGTGGAGTGAAAGAAAACAGACATGTACTTCTCATCCAGGCTGGATGTGGCCCTCGGCGGCCTGCTCTAGTGGTTGGCAACCTTCTCCAGAGCAGATGATATTTAAGATTCTTTTCAACTCAGGCCATTCTACAATTCTGTGATTCTATGATTTTATCTGTTTAGTCTTAACTTGTAATTCAAAGATAATTTACTGTTGGAAAAGAAATCAGAATATACAATATCCTATGTTGTTTTTCTTGTTAAGATTTTAATAACCAAGGACTCTTCTTTTCTAAAATGTTGCAGTTTTTTGAAAAAATCACTTGAAACATGCTGCGTGTCCCTTCATAATCTCAGTGGAATTTGCTGCAGTTTATAGCCAAATGTGTCTTTGGTCCCTGTTTGGAGCAGTGGTGTGAACACCAGCTGCCTCAGAAGTAGCTGCTCTTTAGTAGTGTTAAATAGGATATGCCGTACATAGAAAATAGTTTAGAAAATTCGATTCCTTTTTAATTCTGTTATTTTCCTTTTGGCTACCCTTTAGGGAAGCAGTTAGGATTTGTCCAGTTTTGTCTTCTACTTACACTGCTTACACTACTGAGTTCATATCTTATCTTACTCTTCCAGTCTTTAAGTAGTCTTTGCATATGATTTTTATGATAAATAAGAAATGTAGGAAGCTACAAGGTATTAGGTTTTATAGATTCTGTTACCTGATACAACTTTATTCCTTGGAACTATGGTTGCTGTATTATCGAGTATCTGAAAAAGAATGATGTATCCCACTATTTCAGCAATTCTCCCTTTGGCAATTACCATCCTTTCTTACGTTATTTGAAACTATCCAGAATATATTCTAAGAAATCATGGAAATAGTATACTTTTAACTGGTTTGTTTATTTTATCAAGCAGGATGTTTTGAGCTAAGTTTTCTTTTACTGTGTGTTTGTAAGGTGTTATATCTGATACTCTAACTGGAGATCTAACACTAGCTAGACAACTTTGAGATAGTCATGAAACAGTAACTTGGACCTTAAAAGATTTTATGTAAGGATTACCATGACATCACTGTATTACCAGAAACCTTTTATAAAGGAATCATATAGAGACTCAGGACTATAACTGTATCTTTGGAGAAAACTATATGCAGCATAACTATCCTAGTGTCTGAAAGTATCTCCTCCAGTATTTTGCTTGCAATGGAGATAACAAGATTGCTAAAAACTGTTGGACTGAGCATTGAAGTTGTCAAGAGAGACTGACTGGCCAGGAAGGCACACTTCAGTTTATTGGATGCAAGAAGAAATGTCTTATGTTTCTAAGTCACTGACCTTATTTCGGCTATTGACTGTTAAAAAGTGAATTGGCTTTTGACAGCTTTCCTTCATCTGAGGATATGATAACTTGGATTGTAGCAGGAAAAAGCTTCTTTCTAAATGAACATTCAGAGTACTGTACGAGAAACATGAAGTGCCTTTGTGTCAGCAGTGAAAGAATCATCCAGAGCTGCAGTTCCTTGGCTCTGCCTTTGAAGGCAGTTATATACAGCAGATAGAATCTGAAATGTCCTTTTTCAGATATAGGAGGCAGGTGAGAATTCCTGGCAACAATTTTCCTAAAGAATTATGTACAATTATAGGAAGGATGTAGGACAGACTTGCACAGACACTAAGTTCCTGTTTGGTTTTAAATGTTTATAGAGTAATTGCTCAAAGAAATCTCAGTAAAGAGCAGAATAACACCATTTAAGATATTCATGCATATTCCCAAAATATCTGATCTGAATCGGAGATATCAAACACTTGGGCTGATAGGCCAGATACTGTGCACTTGATGTATTTAAATAGCCCACATAGTATATTCAAAATGTGTGTTCACTAAAAGGGAGATTTTTAGTCCTGGTTATTGAAAGGGTGACATTTTGGTTGTAAATGCATTGTGAAGTGGCACAGTGTTCTCTTTCCAGACCTGCAAATTGACTCCAATAGTGACTGAAAACTATGAATCTCTTATTCCTTATTTTGATGAGTGGGTTATATCTGTCTACATTTTTATATGCATCTATCTTTCTGACTCTTCAGTATTAATTTTTAAAAAATGATTTTGAAATAACCTTACAGTTTCAAAGGCAAGTCCTCAAATGTGAAGAAACTTGACAGTTCAAGCAGGATATGAAAGCTTGATTTATCATCAGTGCATATACATTATGATATAGATATAAATAACGTATGCTGTCAAGCATAGAATTTACTAACATGACCGTGTGTTTTTTTTGTTTATTTCTACAGAACTCTTGCCTCATTTAGCTGATGGAAAGTAAGGGAAATAAAAAGCAAAAAGAGGAAAAGAGATAAGAGGACGGATGCATGATCAGACGAGGGAACACAGAATGGAACATGCAAATGGAAAAGAAATAGAAAAATGGAGCTGAGCGTAAAGGTGACTTGTTTTCTATAATGCTGAGTAACAGTATGTCCAAAGCTATTTTAAAAGTTTATCAGAATACGAAAGTTAGGTTCATTCTTGCTTAGTTTAATTCTAAGTGAGATTGGAGAACACAGCAATTCACTGCTGCAAATTGCAACTTCCCCAATTGCTACTGGGCAGAGTAAATGTTACCCTCTGGATAACATCCCTACTCTGAGAGAGAAATTCAGAAGAGGTCATTATCAAGAACTAGTTAACTGTGTACCTCTGATCAGCTTTAGTAACCAACCCCTAGAGCTACGAAGGCCTATTATCCCATCTGTAAGGATGAATCTCTCCTTCTCGGTAAGAAGAAAATCCCTTTGCCTGCAATTATTTTCATTTTACATGAGTTTATAAATACGCTAATTTTACTTCTGCATGTTTTAGTATATGATATTCCTTGTTTGCAGAATTGTAACTCCTTTTGATGTCATCAATAGAAGTACTTGTAGTAAAGCATCAAAACCCATCTTCTTTATCTCTGTGGCAAGGGGAATACACAGTGTAGTCTCCTGATTAAAATGATAATAAAACATAGATCTTCCAATAGATTAAGCCAAGGGGTAGGAGGAGGGAAGAAGAAAAGGGAATAAGTACTTTTTGGGGGGATTTATTGGTATTACTTTTGCTATTCATTCTCCTCTGTTTCTTTAACTTACTTATTCCATGGACATTCCCCTCCTTATCTGTTTGCCTCTTTGCCCTTGCTTTGTTCTCTGAGTGAAAACAGACACAGTATGAATAGTTTAATGGTCATTTTTAACTTCACCCTTCATTGTGTTTGTTTTGAGCTAAGAATTATTGGATAATTAAGAATCTACCTATAGAAAGATGCTATTTAATTAACAGAGAAGTATGAAAAATTCCAACTGTGATAGAAAAAGACAAAGAAAGGTGATTAAAAATGGAAAAGTAAACATCAGACATTAGCAGGTGTTTTACAACTTGTGAAATGACATCTTGTGGTCATAATACCACCATAGGTATAATTTATTCTAATCAGAAGGGCCACTGTAAAATTAATTTTTTATTTTTTTTAAAACTAGTTCAGGGTGACTGCAATTTTCTAATCAGAACCATGATACAAATACAACAGACATTAGTTAAAAAGTTGGCAAGCTTTTCATTTTGGATTTTGACTAATACGAAAGAAACAGTGGTATATATTAATTTTTAACTTAAATATTTGATGCTATTACAGGTATATAAGCTAAGTATTTCTGTGAGTTATATTTCTTCTGCAGCTGAATACTAGATTCCAGCTTCTTTGAAGCTATTTTCTCAAATGCTTTGTTGCATATTTTCCTGATTTTGCTAGGGAATTGTTACATGTATTCCATGTATTCTTTTTTTTTCCCCCCCTAAAATTGTTGGATACTGTCAGCCTCAAGACACAGACCAACAGATACAGTACATACCTAATTTCCTATTTCTTTTGAATATTTAACTGGACAAGCTCTCTTGTACCTTGATCAGGCAACTGGTTGGTTTGAAAACTTTGGGCAAGATTTTACCCAATATATTTTTATTTCTATTTTAGTGGGCCACATAATCTAAGTTACTTGAAGGGACCACCTGTTAGTCTGTTAGCAGTACTGATCGTGTTTGTACATATGTACTCTTGAAATCTACATGTACTGTAGTGGCTGTGTGACAACTCTGATGCCAGTGTGCATGGCAGCATATTGTTCAGAGTGGTTCAAACTGCTCAAATACATTCTGAGCATCTTTGATGTTTTTATAGCCATTACATAGATGTATGATATCGGAACTAGACTGTCCCCAGTGCTCCAGCTAATTTATTTAAGATTAAGTTGATAATATCTTCAATTTACTCTAGAAGTGACTTCAAGTAAGTGTTACCTAGGATCTTATTGTTCTGTCTATTCATGTCCTTTTAATATCCAATACTCAATATTATTGAGTGGTCTGTACTCACACCACCCAAGGAATTTACTGTTACTTTGAAAAAGCATAGCTGACTAGATCATGCATCCTAAACAAATTAAAATTATTTATTTACAAAACAGGAATTATTATAAAATAATCAAACATGACAAACAATTAGAAAATTATTTTTTCCAAGTTAAGGACATGACAGAAAGAATCAGCTTTATAATTGCTTTTGTCTCTCTTTATATTATATCTGCTGAGTATTACTGAAGTGGACAGATATCATTAAAAAGTCCACCTGTTATTGCAACAGGAAAAGCCTTGCCAGCAGATAACGAGAGGTATATTCAATGTCTTCTTCATTAGATTAGAGTCTGATATCTATAGACTGCCTTCCATAGCTCCACTGCACTTACGCACATGTACATGTATGTCTTGAAACATTCCATCAAGAACAGAGATTTGCAGGGATTTGGCATGGTTTCTTCTTGAGGAAATTATGTATTTATATTTGATGTCTCCTCCTTATAGATGTTGGTTAATAAATGATCTGCTTTTATACATCACTTTGAAGTTCGAAAATCTTGGAGAGCACATATGTAGAACTGTAGCTCACCGAGATCTTTTTATCTAGGACAGAGTAGAATCTGTACTTCAGGAAAGAACCTGTGTCAGTCATTTAACTTCAGAAGCACATTCCCCCTTACAAGTTCACTTGAGAATATGCTCTTAACGCTGCTGTTCTCAAATGTTTGTTGCATTTGATCTTAGCAGCTATAACCATAGTGTAGCCAACAGATGATTAGCCATGTCCAGTAAAAATCAATGGCACAGTGCTCAGAGAGGCCGTGTGCAGCCTCTGAACACCATGGTGATGATGATTCTTGCTGATTCTTACTGGATTTCATAGACTACAGAAGATAACACTGTTGGTGCAATTATTCTCAGTAGAAATCCCAGACAAAATGTTTGAGGAGGATTGTAACAGAAATAATTGGCTATTTATTTTTTTTTTTTGGTCACAGGGACCCAGAAAACTTGCAGCAAAAGAAATGAGTAAGGCAGCACCTGGAATCAACCAGCAATCTCTGCAAGAAGTCTAAGGAACCAGGTAAAATGTTGTCACACATACTGAATAAAGTGGTGGGTCTTCATAAAATCTTACCTCATAATGATCTGAATATTGTTTTCTTTACGGTACTAATAATAGGAAATAACAATTCTAGTGGTAATATAAGTGGTAATAGTGAAAATAAGTGTTAGTCTTAAAGTAAATAACCTTGAGTCCCTACTTTTTCCAAAGCAGAGAATGGATCAGACCTAGAAAGGTATAGATGTCTTGAAACTGAAGTTTGCTTAAAAATGTAGACAAAAAGCAGTAATTTTCATCACGATTTTTTAATTGTAGGCCTGTTTAAAAAATTAAAAAATATAACCTTTGGGACATTGCTCATAAAAATTCAATTTAATTTTTCAATATGTTTCAATTAAACATTGCTTCATTTTCTGTAAAAGGTACAGTTCACAGTGCATTGTTGAATAGCACTAGTGACATCAGTAGTCACTAGTAACTTTAGTCTCAGAGGTAAACAACTGCATTGGAAATTATTGCAATAATCTGTAAACCTGTAATACTTCTGCATAAGGAAAATAATTTTCACTGAGAACGAGTGAATTTTCTTAGACTAAATTAAACTGACCTGAACATTTTTGCCTACTCGAAACCCCTGAAACTGGTATAAACTCAGAGAAATTATGGTAAACATATTGTAAGTTCTATTTCTGTAGTTAGTTCTGTGCTTCCAAAATGTGGAAGAAACAAATGTACCAAAATGCCAAAGCAAGGCAAAATCTGATGGTATTTCTGTCTGTACTGTAAGCAAAGAAGACCAATCCAGTAAATTTCAAGACAATCCAGGAAATTTCACTGTCAGTATTTCTTCGTGATAGTCAGCTAATTTTTTTTCTTAATCTTTTTCATTAATCCTAGTTCTTCTCTCTTATCTTTGTTTAACCCTAAACGTTGTTTTTATTACTTTGCTTTTGCCTGAATTAAATACTTGGGAAAAAAAAATACAATTCTACCTGGAATTTTGCAGGCTGAGGTCATAATATGCCAATTTATTCAGTTGTCTGAATGCCTCTCTGTTAGTGTTGTCATCCTTGTCTATGTGGTTCTTACAGTAATGACAAAAAAGCCTTCACGCAGTAATCTAATGGGAAGGATTCTAACAGTCTACCTATAAACAGCTGTCTCTCTCCTCTCTTCTTCCACAAAGGGAAGATACATGGCAAAAACATTGCATTGTGTTGCTTACTGGTGTGCAGTTTGAAGCTGTGCTGTCACTTATATTTCCTTTTGCTGAACATTTCTAGATGGTTGAGATTAAAGTGTATCAAGTGAGCATTTTATTTGATTTCTGGTGAGGCAGTTCTATTATGTTAATTTACCATTCACTGGACTCTTCACATAGCTCAGCGTGGCTGCAGAATACAGGAGACATACCTCAAGCTGCTGCTGAATTACCTTTGGAGTTATAAAAGCAGTAGATGCATGATTACTGTTTGTCTTAATACATTAAAATGAGATGTGTAATTGGCACTTCAACAAACAGCAGCAATGAAATGACAATTAGTGTTAGCAATGAGTTGGTATCACCTTTCTGTAGCCCCATCCAGTACTCCTTGTACAAAGCTTATATAAGTGAGATAAGCTTATATCAGTGAGAGAATAATTATGTAATTAGGCAAAAAAACAGGGGAGTTTTTGCTTACAAAATAATAAAAGGTTTCTCTCTTTTTTTTTTTTTTTTTTTTTCCTGTGGGGTTTGTGTAATTTGACATTGATAACAATCAGCACTTGTACCCTGCAAGAAGTTTTCGTTCTAAGGGAATCTAGAGAGCTTTGGGAACTGTATGCAACTGCAGACATTCATGTACCCATAATTACAGTTCCATTAAAAATTCATATATCCATTAAAGTTCACATTTGTGCTAAACTGGTAAAGATTGGTAAGATGGTATCTCTAAATTGTAATTCTCTCTGAAAAGTAGAGAGTAAATATGTAAAATAACAGAAAAAGTACTTCTGGTTTGCAGAGAACATAAAGGTGCTGAAGTTGACCTGCTGTATCTGCTGATTGTTTAATTACAGTGACTAGTCAGAGACTCTGTTTACATGTCAAGTACAGTACTTAGTAAAGAAGTATAATCCTGCTGCTAGCAGTAGAACACATTCTGGTAGAAGACCATAGTGGGGCAACAGTTCGGTAAAGACAGATGTTATTTCTTGAATCATTTTTGTTCACTAGAATCTCAAACCTCACCAGGCAGGAGTACATATAATTTAGGAATGCAATTAAGCAAATGGAACTTAGACCCATCTACTAATGTTTTCCTGAGTACGTCTGAAGCTATAATCTGAACTCAGTTGCCAGAGTCCAGGAACCAATGTACTTCCTTCATGGATCAATCCTTAAACAGGGATTCAGACTTCTTTCTTTTTTCTGATGTGTGACAGGAATTAAACAGAAAGTTCCAGCAGATCGACTTTCCTGTGTTCATTATCAGAACAGTTACAGACAGGCAAGGAGCAGAATGGGCCACCTCAGGAACATCTGTATGCTGTATAATTAGAAAGGCCAGAGGCCTATTTCCTGTTTCTTGTCTACCCACCCTCCCACAAGACACCAGAATACTCCTTGTCTACCTTGAAAACTCCCCTGAAGGAGGCATAATTCTTTACAGTAGCAGCCAGAAGCCATTAGCAACAGCAGCAGTCCAATGGAAAGGATTAAAACTGCTTCTAGCTACCTCCAGTGCTGCTTTCGTCAAGTCATCAGGGGTTTCCTGAAGTAGGCTCATGCATTGCAGACAAAACAGCTTCTTTCTTTAATTGCAGCATAAACATATGTCAGTGTGTGGTACTTAATAGATGTGTTTCAGGTATGGGGCAGGAGAGACTGCAAATGGGCAGAGAGGTTCAAATGAAGTGGGCAGCACTGCTAATTCCAAACACTAAAATATCCTAAACAGACTTTCTTTTGTTAGTTCTTAAAAAATGAGATTCTTCCAAGATTTTTTTGTTTAACGTTATGGGCAAGAAGCTTGTTACTTCTGCTTTCATTTCTTCTTTTAAAATGAAGTTTTAGATTCTAAAATAATGATACCACTTCAGAAGCTGGGACTCTATAAAAAAATCAGGCAATGTGATGGTGAGTTGATCCCCAGGTGCTTGCTCAGTCCTCCTGCACAGTGGAGCAGGGGAGAGAGTAAGAAAAGGAAAAGCAAGAGAAAGTGAATCGATAGAGGTAGTTTAATAAGTGAAGCAAAGAGGAAGAAAACAAACAAACAAACAAACAAAACAACAACAACAACAAAACACAAAACAAGGCAGTCACTCAGCACGTTCTACAAGTAGAGCGATTCCCAACCAGTCTTTGAGCAATGGGTAATTCCCTTGAAGCTCCCTCCCCCAACCGTGGCATGGAATATTTCTTGGCTCAGTTTGCATTCCAGCTGTGTCCTCTCCAAAATTCTTGCCCATCCCCAGCCTACTTGCTGTGGAAAGAGGGAAAAAGAGAAAGCCTTTTCCCACATCCTTTCCTGCTGTGGGAAAAAGAGAAAGAATTGACACAGTGCAAGAACTGTTCAGCAACAACTAAATCATTGGTATGTTATCAACACTGTTTTAGTCTCAAATCCAAAACACAGCACCATATGGGCTGCTATAAAGAAAGTTAACTCCATCCAAGCCACACCCAGTACAGCTGTCAATATTCAGAGGGCAGATTGACATGAAAGGGCAGATACATATGGGCATAAAAGCAGAAAAGGAGACTTGTAAAGAAAGATTAAAAACCTTCTATAAAATGAAGAAAAGTAAGTGCATCTAGCAAAGAGAAAGTGGAAAGACTGAAAGAACACTGTAAGAAAGGTGGATACTGTGTAAAAAGACTCAGAAAACCCAAAAATAAAGAAAGAAGAGAAGGAAAGACAGGGAATAACTTTGCAAGAGCAAAAAAAAAAAAAAAAAAAAAAAAAAAAAACAACAATAAAACAAAACATAAGATGCCAAGGCAGGAGAGGTACAGAGGAATACACAGAAGGAAACAATAAAAGATGAATAAATTAGAAGAAAGAGTAAAAGGAATGTGAAAAGCAGCAGTGGAAATATGATAAAAAAATATATACATTTTGCCATTTTTGACATAAACCTATGTGTGCTGTTGGAGGGAAATAACAGGTAGCAGCAAGAGAGGGCTGCTCTGCAAGGGAAGGCAAACTGGGAGCAGAGGGCAACAGCAGGACAGTCAAGGTCATCATCCTCACGGGCAAGATCAGAGTCTTCCTGTATACGAGCAAAAGGAACAGAGCACGTCTGGTGGCAATAAACAGGGCCATTGTTATTTTTAACAATAAGGGAAATAGAAATATCAATATATCCCACTTTCCCATGTATGCATAACGAGTGAGCTAGTAATTCTCCTTTTTTGGTGTTTAAATGGTTCAACAAAAATAATGAATCCCACTTTTCCATAACTCTCTGACAGATTACACTGAAACCTTCCCTTTTAGTTTTTCATTCATTTTCAAATGTTATCACTCTGCTTCTTTGAAACAAGTTCTTGCTTCTTTATAACACCTTTCTAGTAGTGCCATTCTCACTCTTAAAATCCCAAACCTCTTTAATACGATTTCTAGTTTCAATTGCTATTGGATTCCTTTATCAGTAGATTTTCCCTAAGTGCTTCGGGTTGTAAACACAATTTTCTGGACACCTAGGGCTGAACATTAAGGACCACATAGCTGAGTATTTACAACTTTGTCAAAACAAATCATATTTTGAATTACTTTGAGATCCACCTTTTCATCCTGTCAAAAACAAGACATTTATTAGAAATGATGGGAATTTTACAATTTAAATTTAGATCACACCAGGAATTGGGCTACTGTTCGTGCCAATTTTGAATGAAACTCATTAAATTCATTTCAAAATGCAGTTGTGCAATTTTTGCCATTTTCCTGTTTAGATATCCCATGCAGGATGTGTCAGTGAAACACCACTGACCCCCTAAAAACTCTTCCAACCTGAATTATCCTTTAATCGTT